GGAAACATGTTGAAGAAAGAAACTGAATACACAAAGAAAATTATTTTTCAAAGAAATGCGCAGTTATTATTATGTAAATTACCAAATTGTTTATTAGCCTTTACTATAATTTCCCATTTCTATTTCCTCATATGATAGAATTTCTGAACCAGATTAAATTAAAATTAAGTTGTTTAATCTTTGACCACTACTCCACATTTTTAGTTTGAATTTGACTGTTCTTGTTTAATTACGTCACCGTGAGCTGTAATTGATTTTGTTACAGCTCAGAACATGCCTTTATGTTCTAAATTTGTTTTAAATAAGAGGCTTATTTAAACCTTTGATATTGTAGTTACTTTCAGACATAGCAATAATATGCTTCACGTCTGTTGGGGGGTTTTAGACTGTTTAACTTTTAGCAGATCAAGTAAACCCTCATAGGTAGGTAGGTACATTGTGGAGAGGTTGACAAGTTAGGAGATAAAGCACACAGAGACTAGCAAGAGCATTAATTAGTTTGCATATTGAAACAAATCTGTAATTGTTGGGAAAGATGATTAAAGAGAAGGACATCGATATAAACTAGCCAAATGTTTGGGAAGGCTTCCAATTAAAATGACTGATAAATATTTTGTTGAGTGTTGTTGTTACAAAACATAAATGTTTTGTAGCTTTTAATGTGTAATTATCCTAATATCATTTAAGAATCAATGTCATAAATTACATGTATTTTAAACTGTGAAATTTTACTAGATTTTGATTTTAATAGGGGCTTTTTTAACAAATATTGTTAAAAAATAAAATTTGATAGTGTCCATATAAATCCATAATGTTTAAGGTTTTCAAACTACCTAATTTAATTATTTATAACTGCTTACCCTTAAAAATTATCTCTACATATTAAAGCGAGTTATTGCATTTCATTAATACTCACTGTGGTCAAAAGATAAAATACAAAAATGTAAAAATTCAAGTAAAATTTATTCTTTGCATCTGGCAAGATTTAAAATGATTGCTTTAATGGCTTATTGGAACCTTAAAGTGTATTAACTGGGTTACAACCACTGGAAGTCTACATGAACCTACGACACTAACTGCATCAAACAGAGCTTGACTAACTTTCAACACTTGCAAACTGTGCATAGATCAGGCCTTTCAAGTTTATTCTAATCGGCAGGTCTCTCTCTAGGCAAGCACCAGCGGTGACAACATTCAGTCTTTTGTTATGAATATGCTGATTATGATCTTACTTCTCATTTTAATGTATGCCGTTTGACATAAAATCTACCTGCTATTTACTAAACCTCTAGACTGACCAAGTATGTGACAAAATGAGACATACAAGAAATCAACGTAAAGCTAACTGTTAATAAAACGTAAATGTCACTTATCTTCTTTGAAGTAATATGTCCAGCTGTTATAAGTGTAAGATATTTAATGCTTGATAAATTGCTTAAAGTTTATTTTATTCTCAGACTTGTTAATTACCGTAATTTCGCGCATATAGTCCGCGGACTATCTGTGTTTAAAATGCGAATTTTTGAAGCTGCGGACTATCCACCAGTGCGGATAATACGCTGGTTGTTCACGGTTAAAATTGTTGAAATTTAAAAAACACGCTGTCGTGAACTGCCGATGATCAAATATAAAAAAAGCGTGAGATTCCAAGTATCCTTCGCACTGCTTTAGCACAACTGCCGGGAGGGGGAAAAGTAGTTGATGCGTCAACTCGGTTTATAGGAGCCATAGTAGCAAGTACCTGGAGTACGAAAAAAAAAAGCGTGATTCGTTACTTATAGCGTGGTTTGGCAACACCGAGTGAGTGGAGTCGAAGGTCACATTTCATTACCACTTATCACGAGGATAGCATGTTGCACAGTATTTTGTTTTCGTATTTTGTCTTTCATCTTCGCTAACGTTGATGAAACATCGCCGGAGATTTACTGCTGAGAGGTAGTTGAGAAAACTGAAAAAGATGGAACTAGAGAAGCGGGCCGTTATTGGTTTAATCCTAGTACCTGGTGCACACGGGATTTGACTACTTTTGGCGACTTTAAGATGAGCAGTAAAAACGGGACATACACGATGAGTAGTTAACGGGTCATTCAAAGAAAATATATAGTTAAACATAGTATATACTATGTATATAGTGATACTATACTATGCGTGTATAGTATATATATAGACGTTCTTTGGATCATTTTTGGTGTTGGCGATAATTTTCAAAGTCGCGCCAAGGCTGCACCGTATACTAGGATTTTACTCCGTTATTTTGAAGCGGACAAGAAAGCGGTGAGAAATTTGCGCAAACAAAAGGATGTGTTTAAAAAGCATGGGAATATTGCCGTATTAAAAAAACGTAATTTCGGACGTATAGTCCGCGGACTATCCGGTGGTGCGGACTATACGATGGTGCGGACTATACGTGCGAAATTACGGTAATTCATGTTTAGTAATAATACATACTACTTAGGGATCTATTTTATTTTTAGGATGGTATTCCAAAAATTCAGGCATAGATAATATTTTTAATTGCATTTATTCAGTTCTGGTTTGCTCATAGGTTCTTAATTTTTTTCATTGATGGTCTTTAAAAGCCCTTAAAAGTACTTAATTTTCATGTGCAGAAATGTGTACGAACCCTGTTCAAAAGTTGCAGAACATCTGAAGAGTTATTGGTACTTTTCCATTTCGCTTATGCAAAATCTTGCTAAGCAGATTTTATTAGCAACAACACATAGTATACACATAAAAATATGTTAACAAATGTTAGTTCTAAGAATTTTTTGCTTTAGAATCATAAACATTTTAGTGTTGTTTAAAATTTTTTCAAATCTTTCGTTTTCCTTCTCCAAATAAATTCCATGAGATAACTTTTCAAATGATGATGTGCACCGTTCTTCTGTGTTTCTCATTTTCCCTACCTCATAGTCTTTCTATAGTTTGTGTGTGTGTTCCAGTTTCCTGATAAAAAAAATGATATTTATAGTTCACTTTGAAATGTTCGAAACTTTCCTCTTCCAGTTTTTCAGTGTAGTACGATTTCCACGAATCTGAATATATCATAGTTCCTTTTTCGATATTTTCCTTAAATGCTTCTAATGTAATGCTCATGAACTGGTTTGGCTGCTTAACAAGGAAACATTCGTTTATTTCACGCAAGTTCCACCATTGATTCACTGCTGTGGTGGAATCCGTCCCACATTGTTTTTGCACTTTGTGAACATATTTTCATCCACTTCGGTGCTCATACCAGGTTGTTTACATTACACAAACCTCATGCATGTAGTTATTCCAGTCCACAATTGTGCTGTGACCGATTTTCAGCTGACTGATATTCATACCATTTAACTGAAGTTAATTCTTTGCTCCAACCATAAATAAACTTCACACACTTCAAGAAACTCAATTTCGATGACTTAAGCCATGTGCCTTTTCAGATACTTCTTTTTACTATGGCAAATTGTAAGGTTGCAGCGCTACTGAATTTTGTCTTCGAAATACAATTTCATTCCATGATTAATATCAGAAGTAGCAATTTTAGGTAAAACGCCTTTCGCTTGAAAGATTTTGACAGATTCTTTCTCTGTTCTGGGCAAATCCCAAATTTTCTTTGGTTTTTCATTCCATTTTTGACGTGTTATTAAAAAGACGTGACTGATAAAAACATGGCTGCATCTTATATTGAAAATGTGGCCATAAAAGCTTACCAGCTGGGATATACCATTTAGCAGTGGTTGTATCACTTTTGGTGACTTTATCACCTGTGCCGACGAAAGAAAAATATTGAGTTATCTTTTGAAAATGCTTGCTTTACTCTTATATACAATTCATGTCTACCAACAGTAGCAGACATTTAACTTAAATAGCCCCTGTAGTGAATTAATTATCTGTGTTGAAAGGTTCAGGCTTCATGCGGATCATTTTAATACAGATGGAGATCTTGGAGAAACTCACAGTCCAGCAGCCTGGAATCTGCTCATTAATGAAAATGAGATGGAGTCCTATCGTGCTGTATGAGCATCCCATGTATGAGCCATGATTCCCTTCTCTTTCAGCTGAGATATTAATAACATTTACAGTATTATAAATATAATGTCCATTCACATGTTCATAAAAAATATGGTCCAAACATGAAAGCAATGTTACTATTACTACAACTAGTACCATAATTAAAATTACACCGACTTTCTTCTGTATGATACTCAGATTTAGGAGTACTTCCCAAAAAGCAATGTACATATATAGAGATTTAAATTCTGAAAATATCAATAACATTTATATTGTACCCGAAATTTCTGTGGTATTTCTACTATCTGGTGACAATTTGGCAGCAAATATGTCTTGCTGATGCAGATATGTAACTGATTACTCAGGTTCTAACAGAATAAATCATATGAGCATAGTAAATATAATTTTTTTTTCCTTTCAAATTTATTCTGGTATCAGGGCTTGATTCAGAAATGTATGTATGTATGCATATGTAAGTACATATATACCAGCATACATGAATACACGCATCCATCCATCCATCCATACATTTCTGAATCCAATCACAATAACAGAAGAGTACCTTTACTCCTTTTCTTAGATTTTTTTTTTATGTATCCAAAGCAATCAATGCTGCCCTTCCATTGTGTGCTTTCCTGAATAATATATAATTTCACTTAAATTCAGCCATATGCCATTAACTTGAGAAATTAAATATCTTCTGTTTTTATTACTTGGCAAGTTCTAAGATCTCTGAATCTAACTTGGCAAGTTCTGAACTTTGGGTGGGAGGAGGGTAAGTATAGCTAGAAAGTAAATAGAGCAAGATTAAATACCCTATTAGCAGAAAATGGCTATGGTTATAATTGTAAAAGTTATCCAGATATTTATTGGAAAATTATAGCCATCAAAATGCAGGGTGCAATTATTAAATGTGAAAATAGCATATATCTGTCCATGTATGTGTGATTTTAATTATAGTGATGTACGTATGTTTTTATGTGATGTAATTTAATTCTCATTTTTAGTTTCTTGGATGTTGAATTAGAAGCTCTGCAATCCATATATGTAAATGAAATAACGATAATAAAAGATGAGCTGTAAGTTTTATTTAAAAGTTTTTTTATTTAACTTTTATAGTAAGTTAAAATATAATTTTTTAAAATTTGAGTTTGTACTAAAGTTATGCAAAGATAAATTTAGCATTTCTACATTTTATTCTTCTGTTTAAAAATACATATATTTATCTTACTATGTTTTATATTTAAAATAAAGTTGCAGTTTTACTTAAATTGCAAAAATTTCAATTGTGTCATATTATCTAAAAATTAACCAAATTTATTATTTGCATAGGGATTCTACATCTGTATCAATAGATCTTTATCCTGCTACTGCTGATAATCTTCATGAACAGTATGTAAGGATGACACTTAAGTTTACTTTAAAAGAAAAGGTACTTGCCATTTTTAATTTCCCTAAAATTTAAATAGCTTTGTAGCAGAATTGATATAATTCTGTTAGAATGGTGTCAGTTAAAAATGCACCAACATTGTGCCAAATATCATGGCTCAAGAACTTACGTTTACGTTTGAAATATTGTTGCTCAAGATTTCTAGTTTTTGTTTGAAATATCATCACTTGTTATTTTTAGTATTTTTTTAAGTTTTTGACATTTTTTGATAAAGCTTGATCACACAGTTTGACAGTTATTTAATGACAAAAGGGCTGCCATAAGATTATTTCAGGGCAAAGGAATAATTCATAGCAATAAATTTTGTTCTCAAAATCATCTGCTGAAGTTAACTTTTGACTCAAACAAAGCTCCTATATGGCGTTGTTATGGTGTTCTTGCTGTGGAAAAATAGGATTGAGAATGAAAACATGGTTTGAAGGTTCGTATCTTTCATTCCTCACTGCCATTTGTACTGTGTATATGTGATATTAGGAGTTGATGTCAATTGAATTTTGCCAATTTCAATTAGAAATCAGCCATAAACAAATGCAGATTAGAAGTGTTGGGTGCATTCTTCTGGAACGATGGATATTCAGGGGTTTATGCCACAAAAACAAAGAATGTTTTCTGGTTGCTGTTTCTAATCACTGTGCTGGAATATTGATGACAGCCATTCAGGAAAACATTGCAAATGATAGCATTATATTTTCAGACTGCTGGAAAGGAAAGAGGAATGAAGAAATTCTGTCTGTCAACATTCAACTGTGAATCACAGTTGTAATTCTGTAGACCTCGAAACTGGATGCCATACTCAAACTCTGGAGTGATTGTAGGACAGTTTTAAATGGCAGGCACTACTTGCAAACATTTAGAGTCATATTTAATAGAATTTATGTGGCATTGGATATATTCAAAAAATAAATATTTTTCTGCAATATTGAATGATGTTTACAATTTTATGCCACCTGTTTAGATTGAATTTCGTCTTGTTTTATTTTTTTATTTGTATGTAGAATATTCTAGATTAAAAAAATTAAAAATAAAAATTGGTAAAAGTATATTTACGGGTGCATCTTGGCAATACTTGGCTATTTTTAGCAGTACATAAACACCTGGTTTGTGCAATTCTTTGACTTATTATTTTGGCTTTGGTTGTGTCATTGCTACACAAATCCAAAATAACAAGTCAAAGAATTGCACAAACTCGGTATCCATGTACACATCGACCTAGTTTCTCTTAAAAAAAATTTCAGAGAATTGCAAGAATTAGGCTTTGCACACTCCCTTGACTTCCATCTACACATCGATCAATATTCACTTAAAAAGTTAAGGAGCAGCCAACAAAAAGTATATAATCTCAATAAACTACATTTAAAATCAAACAATGAAATAACACAAAAAAGGAAACTCATCTTATCACTACACAAAGGAAATATCCATTTACTTTATTTACAAATTTCCCTGTCTTCAGTCAAACAAAATTCCTTAACAGCATCCAAAAATTCACTGAAATTATCTGAACTAGAATCTATACTGGCATCGCGACATAAATTCACGAGTCAAAAATATTCTCTGGAGTGCAGGTATCCTCCGATATTCGACCGTACGCATTTCCTTCCTACAAACAGGACACTTATAATGGCAACTAAGTAAACTTCCATTTACGCACCAGTCAATTAATGCTTTTTTCCCTTTCGTTTCAAGTCGTACAGAAACTTCAAATTAATCTTGCAACATTCAGCCATTTTACCGTGTAAACCACAAAATAACATACTTTTTATCCAAAATCCATCCCATCATTCAAATACATTGTAATCATGCAACCAATTACATCATAATAGTGTTTCCATAGCATTCAACTACTCAGGTTACCATAAATGAAACAACTTAGCAATAATCCAAGGGGCACCCTTCAATCTACTCTAACGGAAAATGTACTTTTTTTTTTTTTTTTAAATTCTTAAGTAATAAAACTATTTCCCCCCTTTTGAACTCTATTATTATTTCATAATTTTATACATGATGACAATTGGCAGAAAAAAAAAGGGTGCATCTTAAGCTGATGCTATTTTAATGGAATTGTAGTAGAAAATTTATTATCATACTGATATTTCTTAAGTCTATATGAGCTGTTATTAAACCTTTTAATTTTAGTATCCTGAGGAATTACCAGAAATAAACATCCGAAATCCGAGAGGTTTGTCTGAAGAAAAACTGAGAAGGTAAGTTTTAACGTGATATAATTAAATATAAATTATATATCTCCATTAAAAGTAAAATTAAATTCTTTTTACACACAAAAATTAGCAGACTTATATTAAAAGAATTTTATATTTTTCTAGTAATAATATTCATTTATTAAAAAATAAGAAATGAAGTGAACTGTGGAATAGCATAAAAAGGGGGAAGGGAATAATAATTGTAGATGATTTAAAAAATTATAAATTTAGCTAATTTATCTGAAAACTGTAGAAACATCTGTGATATATCTCTAATTTCTGAATGAAATAATTTTAAGCCCTTTAGATTAAAATGAAGTAGCAGTTGGATGTATTATTAAAATGTTTTGCTAACTAAATGTGTAGTTAAAATTTGTAAATATTTAAGTGAAATATGTATTCATTGTGGTACATGAGAGTATTTAACATCACTTTATAAGCTTTAGTTCAATTTTAAATCACATGGTTGTTCTTCAGTTCCAGTCCTTGCGTAGATTATTAAACAGTGTAACATTAATTTGCTTTGAATTTGTGTATGATATTCTCTCTCTCTCTATATATATAAGATTTTTATTTCAGATTTTAATACATTAAAAGTATATTGATTTTTTTTTTCTAAAATAGCTTGATACATTTTTCATATTTTTTTAGCCTGCTATGTAAGTCGGTCTGTTTTAGTCCTAAGATATTGAATTAATTTAACTTGTCTGTTATATCCATTAAAAATATCAAATGTTGAAAAATTAGTAATTTAAAACTTTTTTCCCTAGCTATGTTTTATCTGATTTAACAGTTGTAGTATAAAAAGCTTTCTACTTCCTCTCACATTCCTGCCTGACACATTGATAACTTTGACTATTCTTTTAAAATTTTCATTCCAATTTACTAATTTATCAGGTAAGCATGTTTGTGGAATAGTAAGTAAGTGGAATGCAAGACAGTAAGCATAAGTGTAATGCAGGGCAGTTTATTCCATTTTGTCCCAAAAGGAATATTGGACTTGTTAAAATTACACATGTTAATCTTTTACAATCACTCCTATATATCTGTTAAAATTGCAAACATTTATCAAAATATTCAAATTTGTCCACAGGCGTTTCAAGCGTTTTGCATATGTCTTTCATTTTGTAGTTTCCTGGCTTAAAGAGAACATATGTTAACTAATTCCTCTTGACTAGAAAGTTTGAGTTATCTGTTTAAAAATTTAAAGCTGACTTACATCAGTTTGATCCATATTTCATCAAACTGCAATGAAAAGGAGTAACATCTCTTGATCTCATAAAGTACACATATCTTATGTTCTTCGTGTAGTGTAGTTTGAAATCAATATTGGTTCAAATTATTTTTCCACTTTTTGTTCACCAACCACTTTTTGCCATTTATTTACTTTAAACATTTAAAAATAAAATGAAATTGGATCATAATGAGAGCTTTCTAGGGCTGTCAATAAGATTTACCACCTTTTAAACTGTCCTATTTAGGAGTTTTCATTTCAAACATTGATTTTTATCACATGATGATGGATGTAAGATACACAATGTATGTAATTCTCTTGAAGCAACTTTGTAAAATTAAGCTTTCTTTTTCCATGATCAACAGCAATTGTTTTATCTGGTTTGTTAGAGAAATAATGGTATTTTATGATTATCTGCACCCCTGGTTTGAACTAGTAAAATTGCCATATTTTAGGTGTATATTTGAATATAAATGTGACAGTAACCAAATCATACGTATGCATTGTGCTTATGCATTTGATCGCAAGGATTTATGTGCTGTTTAATTAATCTTCATTTGCTAAATAATATTCACTGGCTATAAAAATGTAGATATTATAGGCCATATATTAAATTTTTCCTCCCTTCATTAAGTTTTTTTTTTTTTTTTTTTTTTTTTTTTTTTTTTTTTTTTAGAAAATCTTTTAATTATATTATTTATGAATAGTAAAGTACCTATTAGCCATGAAAATAGTCAAAAAAGTGTTTTCAACAATTAAAAAATGTCATTGATTTGGAAACTTTTCTTGGGGGTGCAATGAATCAGATGGTACCAAAGTGTTAAAAGCTTGAAAATATGTGCATCTGACATTTAATTGTAAATTATAATGGTTCAGTGTAGTAAATTTTTGGTGTGCTCGAAAGGAACATTTCCGCCCCAACACCAAGTTTTGCCCATGTTTGGTAGGAATACTTTGAGTGTAATATCCGGCTTTATCTGTGCCTGAAAAGCATATTTTAAATCAGCGGTTCTCAACCTTTTGACTAATGTATATCATCTAAACAAAAGTTGAAAACCTTAGTACCACCACTACAAAGTACTACCACCACCATTCTTGAACAAAGCTCGGATTGCATAAATTTACGAGTGTTAGAGAAAAAATCAGGATGTTGAGGTATTAACTTTTGAATTTGATAGTTAAAAATACTTTGCATCTTTGCATACCACCTATTTTTCTCTTGCATACTACTGGTTGAGAACCCCTGCTCTAGATGCAAGAAGTTAAATTGAGAAGAAATTAAAAGAATTGTGCCTTCTAGTAATTTTGCTGTAGAAGTCTCTGTTATTTTTTTACAAAATAATTTATCAGCTGAGGCACAGAATTTCTTTGAAAGCTATAAAAATAATACAGTTAAGTTGCAATCTTCAACTAAGTAAGAACTGCCATTATTTAGGTATAATTTTTAAAGAAAAAGCTATCCTACTATATTATTTATGTAGATTTTGTGTCCATAGATAATTATTTTTCATAGCAACAATTATGATGGTGACTGGCATTAGTTCATTTTATAGTAGTTTTATTTCATCTTTTAACATGGCTTGTAGTTGTGTATTACCCAACAACCACCAATATATCATCAAAAATATAACCCTTGACTGTGATCCCTGCAAGGATTTTTCACCTCTAGGAGCTGTTATAGATTCTTCTAGAAAGAGAGATTTTTCTTTTCTCCCCCCCTATTAATATATTCTTTTATAAAGGCTAAAAGAGGATAAAAATTAATCTTTTTCTAAAAATTTCAGTGTAAACTGCAGACTAATTTTAGAAAATACACAATTTTTAATGACCTATTTTTCTCATGAAAAGTTCCTAGTACAACTCTTGTTTATGTTATATTAATTTTTACTGCATTTTGTATCATGTGCTTTGCTGTGAAATTAAAGAGAAGCAATTTGTTGTTTTCAGGCATGTGGTATTCTGCTAAAATATATATTTAAATTCTTATGTATATTTAATCTTTCACTGTCTCAATAATCAATTCTCATGTAATGAAACTATGTGACAGAAGATGTATGATAAAAATACACTCTGTCACAAAAAAAATCTGTGCACTCAGAGGAAAATGAGTCACAGTCATGAAACTTGACAGGAATGTAGCCTAGTAAGAGATATACAAATGATTTAAATTTGAATGCTAATGATACAATGGTAAATACGCTGTGTGCATATAAGATGCGCATAGATGGAGAGTTTAAAAGAATGCTTATTTGTGCTGTAGGGCTATTTGTGACTAGAGATGCGTCTGAGACATAACTGGTGGCAGTATGAACAATTGTCGGACTTTGAAAAAAGGCTTATAAGGTCTATAAGAAGCAAGTTGATTGAACAGGCCTTGTTCGGTTACCACTTCGTTCGGAGCCACCACCTCGTTCGGAGCAATGTGGGAGTTGCTTGGTGTTGGTGATAATGGATCACTGAAGCAATAGTCTACCATCGTGGAGGGTCAGGGTGTCGCAGGAACACAAATGAGTGTGAGTATTGCACAATCTTAAGCGTGGCCATTTTCACACCAACAACATCACTAGAATCGATTTGATGCCATTTACCACCTTCCAGACATCTGATGGTATCAAGGGAAACCATTCATAGACAACTGGCTGATGCTGGTATATTCTGCCGACATCCATGAAGATGCCTACCACTGACCCCACAACATTCATTCATTCATTTGTCTTTCACAGAACTCGGGCATGCTGGAGTGGGACTGATTGGAGGTGTGTGATCTTCAGTGATGAATCCCGATTCAATCTCTGAGCGGATGACCAACGCACACACATGTGGACACAGCCAGCAGTTTGTTATTGAGCAGCATGCGGCGATTATACAAGGTGTAACAGTGTGGGGAGTGATTTGTTGGGACATATGATCAACATCTAGTTGTCCTTCAAGGCACTATGATGGCTCACAATTACGTGGACGGCATTTTAATGCCAGTTGTACTGCCTATGGTGTCAAGTTGCCCAGGTGCTACTTATCAGCAAGACAACTCTCATGCACATACTGCACGATTCTTTAAGGATAGGACGTACTACTGTAGCCTGCCAGATCACCAAACCTCTCACCAATAGAGCATGTTTGGGATATGCTTGGAAGGCAGTTGCAGGCGTCCCGGAATATTGGTGAATTAACTGCCCAGTTTCAAAGATTATGGCATGGCATGAACTTTTTAATAAAATGATCTTTTGTTCTGAATTTGTAGTCATTTGTTTATCTCCTCATACACTACATACAACATACATGTAGAGTTTCATGTATAGTAGTTTGTTTCCTTCTGGCTGCATATTTTTTGTGACAGAGTGTACACTGTGCGCGGGAGGGGGGGGAGGACAATTCTATATCTTCCGTTCTAGTGAGCCGATTGACGAAATTCAACTTGCATTTTTCATGTCTTGAAAGCACGATTTAGGATATGTATCAGATTTATATATGGCATTGTTCTAATACAGGTATTTCATGCAAAATCAGACTTTTTCTGAAATGACATGCCAATTTTTTTCCCTATTTCGATTTTACGACTCAAATTATGCCAAACTGCCAAGTTTTGTAAAAATCGCAAAAGTAGTTTTTACAAAATTAGCTCTCAAAATTTTAGCTCCTCAATGTTAATTGAATTTGATGTATATTTTTTAATATCGCTTTTTTATTAAACTTATTTGATTCTTCCTTTCATGTTTCAAAATTTAGTTTCATTCCAAATAAAATTCACTGTTTTTTATGATTTATGTTTAAAATTTGTATTCTAAAGTAATTTTTATAAATTTTTCAAAAAAAAAAAAAAAAAAAAAAAAAAAAAAAAGAATTATAACCTATAAAATTTTTACCATCACCATTACCTGCAAAAAATTAGTCTTTTATTCAAAATTTCCTAAGATATACATGAATTTGCATTTTGGCACATTTGAAATTCAGCGTATTTATTATAAGTAATAATAACAAAAATGTGGCTTACGCACTTTGTTAAAATTATTGGAAATTATTCTTGATGCAAATTAAAAAAAAAAAAATTTCAAGGATAAATTTTTAAATTTCTCCTTAAATTTCTCGCCAAAAATTACAAAATTTAATATCTAGGCATAATATGAGTCGTAGAATCGAAATATGGAAAAAAATTGGTATGTTGTTTCAGAAAAAGTCGGATTTTTGTCAAAATACATATGTTAGAACAAAGCTATATATAAATCTAATATGTATTCTAAGTCCCGCTTTCGAGACATGGAAAGCACAATTTGAATTTTGTCAATCGACCTAGTAGAATGGGGGGATATAAAACTGCCCCATTTTTTTTGTTTGCACTGTGTAAATTGACAACAACTGCTGAATGTGTGAGGATAAGAATAGGGAATCAGTTTGAGACAAGTCACTTGCTTTCTTAATAAGCATAATTAGTGTGGAAGGGACTAGAGATGGACAATCTGCTTCAGAACCGATTCACTTAATGATTGATTATCATTCCGGTGAAAATGAAAGAACAATTCTTTAACAGTTCACCAAGAGCAGTTCTTTGGAAGCATGCCAAAAAATTTGATTTCCTCTTAATGTAAACTAGCATTCTTTCCTTTATTATTTACTGGTAACATCTCTGACCTATTTTTTATGTGTGTATACTATGTATTTTTTATGTGTGTATATGCGTATATGTGTGCTTTTGGTTTGCTTAGGTTCCAACTAGTATTTAAAAAACAAAACATTAAATAAACCGATGCATCTCAGCAGAACTCCCCCCCCCTTTGCAAATGGATTGGGCTTTTTTCTTTCCCTTCTGGCAGTGTGAAGGTCTGTTTAAAGTATGTATATTATAGGAACTAGTTTCTCGGATACCCAGCTGTCGGCACTCTGGCAATAGTCGTAGAATCTGGGTTCCTTGGTGTTGTGATTTTCATTGTTCCTGCTGTGTCTGCAGATCTGATTCTCGAAGCTGTTCCTTTGAGGTTCATTTCGATTCTGTGAATGTTGTGTCATAGTATAGCTATGTATATTAGATATTACCTTTTTATACAATTTATGTAAAACAGTAAATTCTATTTTTATTTATTAATTTAATTTACCAGTGTCTTGCAATTAAGAGCTGTGAATTTCTCTTTAATCTTCTTTAGAATTTGTATATATTTATAAACATGAATTTTTCCATCTAATGTATTTTTTCAAGGTTACAAAACATAATGTGGACACTACTAATTAGAAGAACATTGAGCAGTATTTGGTAACAAAATTGAGTTTAGTTTTCATTATTTTTTTTAAATCTTTTAGAATTTTTTTATTCCAGAATTGTGTAGCTGTTCTATGTAGAAAAGCTTTTTTAGGGAAGCTCAAAAGTACAATTGAAAAATCAGTCCAAAGAAGGAGTGGTTTGGTTGAGTTGATTCCAGCGATTCTGATCCTTGTTCAATTCTTTCTGCTCTTCGCCTATCTTTGCACACTGCTCTTGATCCATGCCTATTTTGAACATCGAGGTCATTGTTAGTGAGCGGTGAATCCTTAAAAAGAATTGACTCACTTCAGTGAGCAAACGGTTGTGATCTGTTCCCGTAAAGGAGCAGTTTTGCCCATCTTTAGTAGAGACAAGTTGTAGAGAATAACAGTTTCATACAATTTTTAATTAACACTTTAGAGACACTGGAAAAACCTTTATAAAAACTGTGATTTTTTTTTAATCTTCTGTATATTGTTAAGTAATGCATTATCTTAAAATTGCAGCATTACTGATGATTTACTATCGATAGCTGAAAAGAAAAAGGGCAACTCAATGCTTTTTGAAATGATTGAGGTAAGGATTATGATTGGCTCCTTTTAATATATGCAGTATATTTTTGTGTGAATGTACTATATTATTTTTTGAGTAAATTTTTTCTATTAGACATACTATGAGAGGCAGTCAAAATTTTTGATTTCACAAAATATGTAAATATATTTTATAAAAGTTTATGTAAAAATAGTTAAAATATAATACCTTTTTGTGATTTATTATTAAAAGTTATTTTTTTATAGATGAAGCTATTGAAGCATTATATGCAACTAAAAACGAGGTGTTAGAAAATAATCTTTATTAAGACTTTTTTTTTTTTTTTTTTTGTGTGTGTGTGTGTGTGTGCGTGTGTGCATGTGCAGGTTACCATTGTGTTACTTTTCTTCTTATTTATTTTAAAATTCTTCAGGCATTTTGTGAAGAATTAAGGCAGAGAACTTGAATATATTAATAGGGTATTTTAATGAAATTCCACAGGAATTTTTTAAATATTGCATTAAATTTGTTGAAGGTCATATAATTTTTCAATTGTACCTTTTCTATCTCTGCAAAATGCAAATTTAATCACTGCATTGATTGTAAATCATTTAATATTATTTAAAACAATATTTATGTTAAACTTATGAATAAAAAAGGGAAGATTCCTATATTTTTTTCTAAGGAATTTTCTTTTTCCTTACTGTATACTTTCATGGCATAATTGAAAGCACTTACAGCATTGAGAGGTCCAGAATTTGAATCTTGGCTAGGGCATTGCTAATTTTATATGTTTCCTGTTCTGAAATAAACCTACAAGTAGTGCCCGAACTAAAATATGGTTGACGATCATTTGTCACAACTTGGGTTTGGTGACTGATTCTCCTACTTCCCAGTTGCGCTTTAACCCTTTTGAGATGGTGCATCATTGTTTAAGACATTGCCTCAGCACGGATGGTAATCGAAAGGAATCGTCCCACAGGGTAAGCTTTTTGTGTCGCTAAGCCTAACTTTAGAAGAAAATTCACACACAAGTTTAAATCTTAGCATCATAATATTTAATATTATTTTAGATTATTACTTAAGCTATCATTTATGTTTAAATTAACATTTAATAATCTTTTTCCTTTACTATGTATGAAAATATATATTAACACGTTGACTACCACGGTTTTTTTCGGATTCCGGTCTGAGAAGCCAAATCGATTTAATCATATTATATTATTAAAAATACTAATTATGATTCATAACAATCATTAAAAAGTTTTCAGGTTTTTTTTTTTTTTTTTTTTTTTTTTTGTAGAAAAAAGGGTCCAACGAATTATCTCGTAGTCGGCTTTTGTTGGACAAAGCTCTTCGCAGAAGCCCAATACGAGTTGATTCGTACAGGCATGCTTCGACTTGTCACCTCGATACAGCTAAAACAAGCGCTAAGTGAGTAAGTAACTCATAGTGGTGCAAAAGTGGCAATTGAAGAAACTACGAGATAACTCATATAGGGTGCCCTGAAGAAGAGCGCTAATACGAGTTATCTCATGTTGGGCAGATTAAGAAATAATTTTGGGAAGCACTATTTAAATTTTTACAAAATTTTAATTAACAAAATATATTAATAAACTTTAAAATCAGTAAAAAAAATACAAGCAAGATTATTTACAAAATGAAGTAACAAAATCTTTTGTGAGATGTGGAAGGCAGGCATTCAGTGAGCTCAGTCTCTGGAAAAATGTTCGTATCAGAATCGCTACAAATACCGCTCTCTAACTCTTTAGGAAATTAATCATCACTCCCATCCGTATTTGCTAATTGGCTCATTTATCATGCGAGTGTATCCTTATGATAAATAGAGCCTCTTGACCTTAATAAACTGAAGTCAAGGCTTTTCAAAACTAAAAGGGAAGTACCTGAAATATCAGAGATAAACGTAACACAAAGCAAGACCCCCCCACATAGTAACTCTAAAAGGCTCGACATAGTAGAGGGGATAAAAAAGGATTTGAATGGATAGCAGAGACGCAAATGTTTGAATGTGCAAATTAAAGAGCCAAGCTCTGTTTATTTACATTGCACTTTCCCTTCTCTCCTGCTACACCAAAGTTATGCAGAATGTAATCAAACTGAAGGTCAGGATCATAAAACTATATTCAGTTCAATTCAATGGACACAAGATGCTTGCTAGTGGTCTTTAAAAAATATTTTAGCTTAAAATGCGTATATGCATCACCCGTTCCGTACGCTCACTCTCCAGTGATGCATCGGTGGGATGTCTGTCCGGCTGTGAGAGACATTCACAGGGAATGCATATATAGGGAACCTGTCTGGGAAGGGGTGGGTGGGGGAGAATGTAAGGAATTTCGTACTTCCTTGCTGCATGCTGTTGTTATATAGCTAGAAGCGTATTTAGGTGGCTGTTATGAAGTTTGTTTTTTTAATCCTGTCAAGGCATTGCTGAGTTTTCATGCTTCCTGTGTCAGAATAAATCTAATATCTCTACGAGTACGTGGTAATTATATGTAGTTTTATTTTCTCGTGCTTTATTCAGATTTAGGAAAAATAATAATGATAAAAAACTAAATTATTAATAATTAAAATATATATGTAAATCATTTTAATTAAAAATTATGAGTTTTAAAAATAATTTTTTAAAGCATTTGTACTTTTTGATGATTCACAGCCTTTCTGAAATGTCAGAAAATTGTTGGTGACTTTGGAGAGCATTCATGAATTCACTGATGCCTGGTATTTCACCAAGGTAATGCATAAAATGCAACAGTCATTTTCAAAATGGTGATGAATTAAACATGAGCAATCAGTTGATAAAATGAAAAAAGCAAGTAACATCTATAAAAAATACTTGTCTTTCCTTTTTCTGCTGCTGTTATTATATATGTAGCAACTAGTTTTCACTTAAAAAAGTATCTGCAAATTGCACAAATTTGGCAGTGTACCACCTCTTCATTGCCCACGATTCAAAACAGACATGCTATGCATATACCAGGGTTGTCACATAAATACTTTTCAGCAGCTTTGTGAGTTGCCACATAACTAAATGTGTCGTCAGAGTGACATATTACTTTGCCTCATGAATTTTTTCACAACTTTTTGCCAGGAAAGCTGGTAATGAGAAAGATTTTATTTATTTATTATATATATATTTTGCATTTGATGTTTTCAGTTACCATTCATATGAATTGGAAAAAAAACATTTTCCTACTCTGATGTATGTTTGAAAAGACTTTTTCTCTTTTAAACTATGCAGAAATTGTATGGATTTTACTCAATTTTTAGTATTAAAAAGCAGGATTTTTTAAACTTGTTATGGAAATTACTAATATTTAATTTTCAATGGGTAGCCTTGTGAATATTTTTATTAGCTGAAAATCGTGTCATACGGAACGTTCTGCAGTTTTTTAATGATAAATACAAGTGAAGCAATAAAAAAAACAAGATTCCATTGAATTGCAAAAGTACCATTTTGTTCTATGACTTTTTGCCATTTCTGCTGTAGTTAGAAAATTTCTTTTTTGAAAAAGTCATTAAGTTTATTTGTAAATTTGAGTTATTTGTGTATTTGAGTTATTGAGGTGCTGTTAGACAATTTCCAAAGAAGTGAACTCTTGGCTGCTTAGAATTTTGAAGAAATTTGAAGAGGGGACAAATGTAGTAAATGTGGTTGGTGAGACAAAATGTCTTAGTTACTCAATAAGTCTTTGTCTGACATTCATCCAAATGTGGTCTAAGCATTGTCGTCATAGAAGACAACTTGGTAAATGATCAATTCTGGGCACTTTTTCTTCACTTCTCATCTTCAGGAATGAGCTATTTTAAAAAAGGAAGTTCTTTTCAGAAAATAATCATGTGCTGAAACTTGAATTATATTCGTACACTATCTGGCCAAAAGTATCCGAACACCCCACTAAAGAAGTAAATCTGGCGGGTGATGTAATTTGATGCATAACCAAAAGCAGTGGCATAGCTAGGGTGGGGCAAGGGGGTACATCTGTCCCCGGGCGCAGCATTCAGGGGGCACCAAATTGATGTTACGAAATTTTTGAATGAAATGTTTTCCATTCTTGACACAGAGAAAGGGGTGCAAAATCTTCAGTTGTCACCGGGTGCTGAAAACCCTAGTTACACCTCTGACCAAAAGCTATAAAAGTGTTGGTAGTGGTTTGTCAGGTCATGTTTATGCATTTGTGAGACAATGAGTAAGTCAAAGGAGCGTAGTGATTTTGATCGTGGCAGTATTATGGGATGCCACCTTTGTAGGAAATCAGCTCGGGGAATTTTGGACATTCTGCAAAAGCCAAAATTCACTTTCAGTGATGTAATTATGAAGTAGAAATGTGGAGGCAATGAAACTGCAGAAAAACAAAGTGGGCAGATGGGGTAGGGAACACAGCTGTAGAACTCTGAAAAGAGTAGTGAAACAAAATTGCATGTCTTCGTTGGTTGAAATTTATCAAGCATTAGTACTAGCAGCAGGACTGTTCATCGTTACTAAAACCTTGGATTCCATAGTCGTGCAGCTGCTGATAAGCATAACATAACTCCACAGAATGTGAAGCAGTGATTGCAGTGATTGCAAAGCTGACTGTCATTGGACTGTGGGCATGTGGAAAAATGTTCTGTGGAGTGATAATCTCACTTTACAATCTGGCAGTCCGATGGACGCGTATGGGTTTGGCGGATGCATGACAAGTACTTCTTAAGTGATTGCATTGGGCTGACTGTAACGTTTGGTGGTGACAGCATAATGGTGTGGCGGTGTTCTTCAGGGTTTGGCCTGGGTTCCTTAGTACCTGTGGTTGGAAACATGAACTCAGGTATGTGTTCATTCTGTCTGAGAGGTATATGGACTGAGAGGTATATGTCTGAGAGGTCTGAACAGCACTGCTCTCACAACTCTATGGCAGTATTTTGGGGAAGGCCCATTTCTCTTCCAGCTGGATAACTGCTCCATTCACACATTGTATGTGTTCACTTGTGCAGCCATGGTTTGAGGAAATGGATGTTCAAAAACGGGACTGCCTTTCTCAGAACCCTGATATAAATCCTGTAAAACACCTTTGGGATGAATTAGAATGCAGATGCAGATTATATAGTCAGCCAAATCGACATCCTTACTGCCAGCACTCACTTCAGTTATGACGGATGCCTGGAAGTCAATTCCTATTTCCATCTATTAAAAATTGCGGGTCATCTATGCAAAAGGGCGACCAACACCATATTAATATATGTCTGAGGACTCTCGGGAGTACGTACCACTTGGGTGTCCGGATAGTTTTGGCCAGATAGTGTAGCAGCTTGTGTACACAGTGTTGTTCAAATGATTATGTACTGTTCATTTTGCAATGTTTTGTTCTGCCTCATAGTTCCTGTTTTGTGTAACTTAAATTTTATGCGATAATAGCTTGTGTACTGTGGATGGTTGTTCAGAGTGAGCATTAATCTGCGAGATTGAAATGTGTATGGACAAAATTGTGCTACAACATATGCTAGAATTATGAAACATAAGCAGAACATATTTAAACATTACCTTTGATCAAGGTTACCCTATTAGCAGTAATAAAATAATCAGAACACGTGCTTCAATTTGAAAAACCGCAGAACTTTCCGAATGACAATACTTTTTTAGCATTATCAGTGCGGATAAGAGAAGAGCCCAGAAGCAAATTTAAAAAATACTTTATAAAATTTACTTCATCTACCTGACATGCAAAGTTTAAACAGTAACAGTTTTAAAAGTAACAGTTTTAAAATTTCTTGTGTAAATCATATAACAAAAAATATGTAAAAAATATTTGGGATCTGTTCTCTGTTAAAATGTTTAGTTCCAGATTTTTAGGCTCATAATTTTTTATTTTGAATGTTTAGGTAAATATATATTTAATTTAATATATAATTTTAATCAATTCTTTAAAGGCTGCCAAAGAACATTTAACTGCTGAAAATCGTCCTAGTGGAGAATGTGCTATCTGTCTTTATGGTTTTAATGAGCAAGATGTATTTACGAGGACGGAGTGTTATCATTATTTCCATTCACACTGTTTAGCTAGATATTCAAAGAATGCATTGGAAAATAATGAGAACAATACTGAAGCTGGGACATCAAATTTTCAAGTGAGTTATGATTTAAATTTCAGTAAGTTTTAATTTTCTTCAAACAATGGTGATATTTTAAATAAAATGCATACGTGCAAAATACCTAATTAGTAAATAATTTATCTGATTAACAGTTCCATGTGCTAATTGCTAGTACATACTAGTTGTAGATTTCTCTTCCTATTTTTAATAATGCCTCGTAAAACTATTTTGATAATTTTAATGATTTAATATAAGTTAGTTGCTATTTTTCTAGTTGTTTGTTTAAAAGATATTAGTACACTTTTAGATTCTACCTAGAATGTTTTATAATAAGTTTTTAGTTTTAATCTTATTTAGCAAAATATGGACTTCCTAGCTATTAGCAGAAATAGAAAAATATGTTTACAATTTCTATTGATAGTTATGAATAATATGCATGCTGTGTAGTTCTGTAAAGTTATATCAGTCTTCTTTTTTGTTTGTTATGTTGTAAATATGCTCTTTTGATCATTTCCACAAAAAAGTCTCAAACTAACAGTCTTCTTTGTAATGCATTACGGTCACATTGCTGTGGCTTATATGTGAATTTAAAATTTAATCTGTGTTGGTGGTAGGAGAAATCATTTTTGATGCTATCAAGAAGCCAAGAGTTTCTTCAAGTAAAAATACCAGTATTTATCCCACTGAAATTTTATTTCATGTTTAACGGTTAAAAAGTATCATGAAGAAAGCACAAACCAGGAAGATAGAAAACATAAGAATAACAACAATCATAGGATTTATCACATGAATATATTCTGGATGCAGTGATTCAGTAGAAGCAAGAGCTAGAAGAAGAGTGCAAAGAGAGAAATGAATATGAAGGTGAAATAATTCGGATATCTATATTATGGCATTCAAATGCATAGAAATTCTGTTAAATTATATGGTTGAACAAAATGTGCTTGAATTAATGATGTCATATTTTTGCACATTTGAAAGAAATGCAAAATGGACCTTTTTTAGAAAGAGAGCTGGCAGTCTATGTTAATTTAATTATTTTTTTATTTAAACCTAATTTTAAACTGTATATTGTATACTATTTATTTTAAACCTTAAAAAGCTTTTTTTATGATACATCTCAGTTACCAGATGATCAGTGCTTTTCGATTTCCTAAGCATTTAAAGTAGTACCAATAATTATATTTATTATACACTGTGCCCTGGGACTTTCACAGCAATAATCAGTAAACATATACTTTGACCTACAAAAATGTTTTAAGTGATGCAAATATTTGTTTTGGAATTTTTAAATTAAAAAGTCAGTTTTTGTGAAAATTACAATATCTAACTTTTTAAAATTTTCTCCTCTGGATGCTATACTTACATTCAGGAAAATTTTAGACTCATTGTTTAAAAAAAAAAAAAAAAAAAAAAAAAGTAACTCCCATTTGACAAAAATTGACTAAAAATATTTCATTTTAAAGTTTAAAGAGTTTATATTCAAGGGTTGTACACAAATAGAAAAGGAAAATGTTTGCTTCTATATGTAACTAAAAGTCTATGTAGAAAAAGGTAATAAAAATTCATGAAAGTATTAATGTATTTTTAGTGTTTGAAGACCTGTAAATTACTTGTGCGAAAATTCTCTCCGTAACCTGTTGTAACAAAGTATAAATTAAAGAATGTTAATCACTGGTAAATTAAAACAGCATGTCATTGAATAACATTTAAGGGGAGGGGATAAACCTTGATGTTTTAATTTATATACTAACCAACTCTTCAGAGCCAGTTGAAAATAACATCAGTTATTCTAAATTTTGAAATTAAATATATCAGTAAATTTTTGTCATATGGGAGTTAAACGTTTTATTTTTCGTACAGTGTGCCCACAAAAAGAAATTTTCCTAAACATAAGAACAAGAGTAACTTACAAAAAGATAAATTTTGTAATTCTTATAAAAATAACCTTTTTCAAAATAGGGGAAAAAAAAAAGCCAAACTTGGATATTAGCATCATTTAAAACATTTTTATAATTGGAAGTGTAGGTAGTCATCAACTTAGACTTATACAACTGAAATCTAACAGACTTAATGACGATTTTTGTAAGAGCACATTCTGTCAACAATTCTTACTCAAAAAAGTTAAATAAAGTGTTGAAGTGAGAGATATGAATTTGGCATTTTATTAGATTTGGCAATACTGTGCAACTGCTCACACCTGCAGTCATATACTTCACCATTCTGTTCGCACATGCATATCAGCTTTTGTAGTAGATCAGTTCTCTCATGTTTATACAATTGTGTGATTAATTAATCTAAATGATTAATTTAGGCATATTGGCAATTAAGAAGAATAATATAATAAGCAGTAAGAAGGTAGAAAAAAGCTAATGTAACTGTACGATTTGACGCTAGCTCATTCCATTATATCTTCTATTTTCAGTGACAAAGGAAGAGTTTGCAATGCAATAAAAGGATCTGCTTCAATTCACTTAATGGTTATTACTAAATGAGAAATTGGAACAATTCATGAAATGGAAAAATTATTAAATGCATGAATAACTGACCAGTTGCAAAAAATGAATGTCTTTATCATTGATTTTTATTCAAACAAAATCATGTGAATCATTTTTGCTTGAGAAATCAAAATTGTATAAATTTGGCATCACACACAAACTTGTTGTTGTGCATGTCTGGAAAAACAGCGGAGAATTGCACAAATTTGACATCAACTTGGTGTTCTCTACCTACCACAGAAGGCATTTTTTGAAGCTTATTACACCAATCTATTGTTTTATTTGGGAATAATTCCATTTCTTCTATACAGAACTTCACTGACATGTGTTTTTTTGTCCAGCAATAAATGAAGAGTTGTTGTAAACAATATTCGGCTATCTTCAAACCTATTTGTGATCTGCATTCTAACACTTTGCGTACAGTTTTTCACATTTCATTTCCAAATATTCGATCATCTAAGAAGTAAGTTTCATGGAATGTGAATTTTTACTTTCTTTTACTGTTGGATAAAATACCATACTTCTGAAGAAGTACAATACTCCCTTTTTCATTGGTTAGCAAACTCCACAGTCCCATTAGAATTTGTTAACAAGGGGGAAAAAAGTACTCAATGCAAAACAAAATTTCTAATCAGGAAAATGCCTATCAAAATTGGAAATGGAAAGTCACATGAATTGAAATGCATGGCTGCTGGTACACATGGCATTCGAATGTGGGTTGCTTAAAAAAAAGGGGGGGCAACATTTTGGGTTGACACATAACTAGTGTTTTGGGGAGATAATGCATTGCCTCCTGAATACTTTTACTTTGCAGATAATAATAATTTAAAAAAAAGTAATAAAATAGACAAAGCTAACAATGTTTATGAAAATGTCCAGAGTAGCAAACTGAACATGCAGCTGCAACAACAATCAGTTGATGACATTCAGGTTTCTACTAGTGATAATGCAAGGAATTAAGAAGACAAGTTTTTTCTGTAAATAAATTTTGTGCCTTTGCAGCAGTTTATTTAATTTTTTCTATTTTTTTTTATTGAGATAGTGATTAGTGAGAAATGTGACCGAACTGAGAGTTAACTGGAACCAAATGTGCTTGTAAGTTGAGATGACCTCCTGTGTATGTCTATAACTAACGGTTGTGAAAATAAAGGCAGGATAAGGACTTTTGTAGGCATCATACTCTTACTTTATATATTTGTGAGTATGACCTTTGTGGGTCTCTTATAGTTAGTTATACATGCTAATCATATGCATCAAGTAATAATGCTGTTTTACAAAAATCTAGATACTAAGGTTTGTCAACATTATTTTTATGTTCACTTAGGTCCAATAGTACAAAATTAAGCTCAAAAGTGTTATTTACACAATAATTAGTGAGTAGTAACTGTATACAAACTGATGTAAACACACAAGTATATGCATCTCTGCTGTTAAAATTGCTAGAGTAATACACAAGTTTAATAGAAAGAGATACTAAAATTGCATTCTAAAGAAAATGTACCATGTAGCGGGAGTATCAGAATTCAGTTCAGGGTTGAGCGGGCAAATAAAGACATTGAAAACGTATTATAATTTAAACAATTCTTACAAATATCAAATACTATTTCTTCCAAATAGCCGTGACTAACCTTATGTTTTCCATGAAGGTCATGAATTCAAATACAGTATTATCTAAATAAGGAAGAACTGGGGGGGGATGATAATACTAATAAACGCACTTTAAAAGATACGTACAAAAATCACCATCATTAATGTAGATTTAGTTGTGTAAGCTGTACGTAAGAAATAAAACTGCAAAAAATTGAGAAAAGGAAGTACAATTTCTTTTCATGTACTTAATAAAGGAGAACACTAGAACTACTATTTATTGTTTAATACCAATTAATAACATGCAGTATTAAAATATTTCAATCATCATAAGGAAATAAACGAGTATATTAAATTAAAAGATTTAATGATTTATAGAATTTTCTTCATTGTTATTTGACAACTTGATTCCATTTTTTAATGGCTGCTATCCAGTGTGGAAATAGTTGTGTCTTTCCACCTTCCTAGAATAAGGAGACTTCTTGCTATCTTCACCTTGTCAAAGTCAAAACCTTCATTCTGGCCATAGAGTGGAAGTTTTCAGTCGTAATGGAATGAAAATCACAATGTTTAACTCTAAATGGAGTGAAAATTGCAGTCGTCTTACAAAGTGTCAAATTCTTATTTGAAGAAATTAAATATATTGAAGAAATTAAATGAATTTGAAAAAATTAAATGAATGTGAATAAAATTTTTCCATGAAATTATGAGGGTAAATTCTTGAAAAAATTCTTGATGTATCCGATGACAGCTCAACAGAGTTGGTATTTTTTCATGCAATAAAATTAGTATCCTGATTATCAGTGCTAATTATAACTGGCCTATAGTCAACTTCTAAGGGTAATTGGGAAACAAATATATTCACCTTTGAAATTATTTCAAGACATTATCCAAATACTTGAAATAAAATATCCATAATAAATTTTTATTCTTATAATTTTATTGAATAGTTTATATAGAATTTAAAAGCATATTGAGAAAGAATTAAGAGGGCTAATTATTTGTTCATAATCTGTCTTTATAGTTATTATGTCCTATGTGCCGAATTCCTATCCAGTTTGAAGACTCAGAGGAGCTTTTTCCTCCACCATTTGCTGCAGATGATGACACGTTTATTATGAACGAGGAAATTTTGGAACTTCAGAAGAAGATGGCTGAGCTTTTTCAGCATCAATTTGAAAAAGGGGGAATTATAGATATTGAAGCAGAAAAGAATAAATTCTTGTTAGAGATCTCAAATGTAAGTGTGCAAATTTTATTTATTTAATAATTTTTATTTCAGATAAAAAGGGAATATGACTATTAAAAAATTTTTCATAAAAGTATGTTTTTTGTGCAAATTGAAAATTAGCTCTAGTGTTGTTAAATTATTGTAATTTCTACAGAATAAATGCATGTTGTACTAAATAAAAATGGGCTAGAGCAGCATAGCTTTTTAGAACTACTTATGAAGAACTGTATTCAAACAGCTTCTATAAACTAAATATGTATAGTTACTGATTCTTGTCTGTGTTATCATAAACATCCATTCATTAAGATGATACAGTACAAGATTGTGACTTGTCGGGACCTTGGTTGTTACGAATTTCAGAATTTTTTGGATTTTAGATCATTGGTTTAAACTTAGTAAGGTGATATGTAGAAATTATAAAATTTAAAGTATAAAATATTTTGTAAAAAGAGAATAAAAATTTACAAAAAGAGCTTAGTATTTATTTGTTTGCCTGAAATAAACATTTTTGTCAATGTAAATTGTTTAATTTACTACACGTAGTTTCTTGTTCAGTTACAGAGTTTTATCGTTCAAGACCAAAATTTCTGAGTCCAGAATTCCCACT